AAACTCGTAAGACTGCAGTGGCAAGCGGCTTGCTTCCTAAATCTCCTTCTCTCTCTAACTCTTAGCAAAAACCACAACTTAAATAATTGGGCGTTAGCAGGACAATTTTCATAAACAAGTTAAAGCATTTAATTCTGGCCGGAAGTAGAAAATAAGAAGTGATAGTACAGTTTTAAAATAAAATAAACGTTAGTAAAACTTTGGATCCTTACAATATATTCTAAAACAAAAAATGTAATTTTTGTACCCCCTGTGAGATTTAACAGAAACATGCCACTGCCATTACATCAGCATTGTGTACTACAGGATTCACTAAATGGAAAAAAGCTTCAGGAAAATTAACTGAGCAGAAAATATATCTGAAATCCACAGAGAGTGCATGATTAAGTGGAAAATTCCACTACAACAAATGAAATCGTGTCAAGGCATCGGTCATGACATTAAGAGGTAATTCACACAGAGAAAAAAAAAATGGAGAAAGATCCTACAGATGAGTATGGATGCTGTATAGCTAATGAAAGTTAGTTACGTAATCAATCAGCTCATCTATTGTCGTAATTTATGTAATCTATTTTTTTGTAACTAAAGATCTTTTTTTTTTTTTTTTTACCAGTGCGTAATTAAGTGTATCGAAAGATGTATATAATTTTAAAGGTACCATAAGGTATTTTTCATTCTTTAAACGTAAAATTTTTGCTAAAATCTTCTTTAAACTTAACATTTTGTATAAGCATAACTATACAAATTACTATTATCCATCACACAATGAATGTTCCTTTTATACTGAAGTGTCCCGTTTTTCGATTTGTATGGAAGTATCGTGTATCGAATTACTATCCGTAAGTACGTAGTCAAGGGAGGTTCTGAATGTAAACATCTGGAAACCAAAGTCCTCGGAGCAGTGCTTCACTCGCAGTGTGGGGTTGACCCCTCCTTTCTTTGTTACCTCCATGGTCTGACTAATTATTATTGCGAATATAGCAAAATTGCGTATTTCAGAGAAAATGATTATTACAGTACAAAAATAGTCTTTTGCGTGAATATGTAAATATTCATTATGTTATTGGGCTTTGTGAGGACGATAGTAGAGTTCTTGAGTAGGCTACATGAAGGCGTTATTGTGAAATGAATATTTAACGTGCTAGGTTAAAGTTACTGTTAGTATCGAGAAATTGGTTCAAAATTATTCAATCCATTCTATTAGTGATTTGTAATTTGCTTATATTTGTTTAAATGAAATTTTTTATTATTTAGTAATGTCTGATTTCCATTTTTGTGCTGCGCTGAACTATTTTAGTATTTAGTGCTGAATCGTTTTCTATTAACATCATTTATTAGTGTGAGCAGGTATTGTTGCAAATATTGAAAAAATTCCCCATTTCAGGGAAAATGTAAATTTGATTATTTCAGTTCACTGGACAAGTAACTGCATTAAGAGGGTTCACACAGGTTTTTAATTATGTAACTTTTTGATATGTATATTTGATCACCAGCGGCTGAGAGTCTGAACACTGGTAGTTCGGTCGGGGGTTAGAATCAAGTTAATTAGCTGGCTGCATGGGTGTTTCCGCCATTTCGCTCATGCGTGACTTGCATATGAATCAATTACTCTTAGAAAGACCTCAGAGAAGACATATTCCCTCTTAGGCAGGTAGCTCTCTTATGCTTTGCCATAAGTAAAGAAACTAAACCATTGGTTATATATATTTCTTTTAGAACAAAAATGGCACATAAAATATTTCTTACTATAAAATGGATTTCCCATTTTATCTCGAAAACTACCTATTTCTATGTTTATTTAAAAAAACTAAAATTTGTTACAGAAACTTAAAGAAAGATGGGTAAGGGTGCCAATTTTAAGTTTTTGCCCCACCTAAGAAAAATGCTAAATCCGGCGCTGAGCACATTAAGTAGGTAACTTCAAAAATTGAGGTCTTTATATTAAAATGCTGATTCTCTATGATTTTTTTTTTTTTTTTTTTTTTTTTTTTTGGTAAAAGTAGGCTAAACTGCTGAAAATGTGTGAGCTGGTGGCGATGTTCCATTCCCGGGGGGTTTGGTCCCATGGCTGCGCTTTGTTCTTCGTACATTGATCCTTAAGGGTTAATTTCTCAGCTGAGTCATAATGTTTCATTTTTTAGCTTTTTATTTTGCAGCTGAGTTACATTTCCTTGTAACATTATACTAGTTCAGTCAGAGCATGATATGGTTTATTAATGCAATGTTATATTAGGTACCTTTTTTGATAAAATAATAATATTGAATATAAATCACTTTCAAAAACTTTTAACACATTTTTTACACAAGTATGTTTAACAAGTGGCATCATAAAATTACCTGAAAACATAAATTTTATTCCTAAAATTTTAAATTTCTAGAGAAAGTTTTGAACATTTTGTCTTCAGATTTACATAACTATATTCATGCATCCATTTCTATAGACACATATAAAAAAATACGCAAAAGTAGATTAAAAAAGCAAAACTGACATTTGGCAGCTGCACGCAAAAAAAAGTGCTCTACAGGGACAGCGGCATAAAACATATAACAGCTCTCAAAGTACAGGATTTCACTCTAGACTTGTTTAAGTCTCAATTGTGTGTTCTTGAGGTCCATATGTTACTAGTCATGCAAGATTCTACCACAATTTAAATTTTTTTACATACCGCCCCTGAAAGGCTTAAGATAAGAACTTCAAGGATATCTACAATTTCCATTACCAGTGCAGTATAATATACACTGCCCTCCAAAAGTTAAGGAATGGTTAAGGCAGGCGATCGGATGGATGGAAATGGGGATGTCACAAGCTGATGCTACTAAACGTCTCAATGTATGTCTCTCGTAATGTGGTCCACTGACTATGGAATCAGTTTGATTACGAGGATTCTATGTCTATAAGACATGTTCCAGACGAAACTAGAGTTACAACACCTGCGGGAGACCATTATTTAGCTCTTTCAACCCGAAGGAGGAGTAACATAACTGTGCCTCAGTTCATGGCAGATCATTTATTGCAACAGGAACAAGAATATCAGCTACTACAGTGTGCAGACCCCTTTACAATACAGGTCAGTATGGAAGACAACCAACTGTTTGTGTCCCCTTGACCCGAGGAAACAGAGGTGCACGTTTACGTTGGGCAAGATAACACGTCTAATGGACTAGTCAACAATGGGCATCTGTTCTCTTCACAGACGAAATCCAAGTTCACATTGGAGAGTGATTCAGGTCATTGGCTGATTCAGAAGGAACCAGGCACCAGATATAACCAACTGCACATTGTGGAAAGATACAGTTACAGAGGTAATGGAATAATGGTGTTGGCTTGGATCTCTTTCGGTGGTCACACTGACCATGGAGGAATTTTGACTGCTGTGAGATATCAAGATGAGATCCTTGATCAATATGTCCACCCATATGCCACTACTGTCAGTCCTGGATTTCTTCCGATGAACAACAATGCACGACCGCACCGAGCTTGGGATGCTGAAGAATATATTGAAGGTCACAGTACGGAGCGGATGGAATGGCCGGCCAGCTCAATCTCCAGACCTGAATCTGATAGAACATCTTTGGAACTACCTTGGGAGACAGGTTGCTGTTTAAATCCCCCTCCAAGGTCGTTAGATGAGCTTGCATAAGAATTACTCTGTGTCTGGTTTTTGCTTCCCATTTCACTGACCAACAATTTAATTCACAGCATGGAATGTTGCTGCCGCCAATGTATTGAATCTAGGGGTGGACACATTCCTTATTAGACCCATTTTTGTAATGTTGACACCCCATTTTTCTTCAAAAAACTGTAATAAACTGTTTCTCCAAGACTGGATTTCTCTGCCAAGAGTGCAATGTTTTCTTGTAATTCATGTTTGTGTAGTACTTTAGAAACATTCTATGTCAAATTCATTAAAGAATTGTTTAGTGAACATGTCCCATAAATTCCTCGTTTTTATGTTGATTCATTCTCAAATTTGACACAAAAAACATGCTGTTTCTTAACTTTTGGCAGGCAGTATACATTGATTGAACAAGATAAGTAAGTCTTGAAACTTAATGTTAAAAGCATAAAACTTATGCCTGGAAAAGAAATTTGTAAACCTTTCACTGAATAATTTCTGGTTAAAAATACCAGATTTTTCAATATTTGTGGCCCTATAATTTTAAAAACATCTTCAATTTTTCAAGTGATTTACCTTAAGACTTTTCACTTCCAAAAAACTCTTTTTCATTTACTATATGAACCAAATTTGAATTGTTATTTACAGTTAGTTAATAAGTCTAATTATTAGCTATTTCTCCTTTTCTTTTGTAGCAGCAGACAGCATTCAAAATTTGATTTTTTATTATTTGATTAGAAATTTCTTGTTTTCATTTAAGTGCCATGATTTCCTTCATCTCATTTTCATATACACAGTTAAAAAAAGGCACTGTTTGATCTCCGGAACAGCACATTTTATTTACTTAATGCACATTTGTGTTGCTTTTTTTTTTTTTTTTTTTTTTTTTTAAAGCATTAAGTTTATTTCGAACATCCTTTTACATGACATTATAGTATTACATATGCCTACATTTTCCAGCAAGAATAATAAGTAGATGAATAACGTTGTTGTGATTATTTTCACTAGTCTGACACCAGGACAAGCCCATGAAATTCATCAATGCAAGGAAACAAGTTTGCCCCTGTATGGCAAGAGCCTTGGCCATCACACAGGTGACAGTGCAACTTTGCTCAACTCTGCCCCCAATCTGGGTGAATAATTGCTCAGTGATCAGATAAATGCTTGTCCTAATTAGTTTGGATTAATGGAAGTTCTATCCTGTCTAATTTTATGTTCAATTTGCAGAAGCATTTACCATAAAATAAACTTAAAAAAAAAATAAATAAATAAATAAAAATAAAATAAATAAATAAAATAAAAAACATTACTTGAAAATAGATGCAAACTTGCAAACATCAAAGCATGATGCAAACTGTTAAGAAGTCAAATAATAAAACTGAATGACAACATTACACTTATTTAATGTTTTTACAGTAGATATCTGCCAAAGATAACACAGAGAAAATAGCATCATATTCAGATCCAACAGTGTCATACTTTTGCAGCACAGCATTTTATATTGTATAATCAATATATTGTATAATCATTTTTATATTGTATAATCAATATAAAAATATTTTACATTTTACTATCTATCCCTTAACAACATAGTTAACATAATTTACCGTATCTTCTTTCTTGATTATATTTTATGTAACATAAATTAAAGACCGAGAAAACACTGGATATTTGTTCTCTGTCATGGCAGGAATGATGATCTAGAAAATAAGACCACAGATTTAATGACTGTGTATGACATTTTAAACAATTAATTTTAATAAGACATTTAAAAATATTTTATTGACATTTTTAAATCAAATTTAATGAAAACAATAAAGTCTGCTAATAAGAAAAAAGATGATGATTTCAAACAGAATAATTAGTGACATATTAACTCCTGCTATTAAAGTGACAAAACTGAAGTCAGAAATAAAATCAGCTACCATACTGTCAAATAAAAAGAAAAGGAATCAAGGGGAAGGGAAAATGGTAGCTATAATTTTAAATATCCAATAAAAATTGTCTAGCTCTTACTGAAACATGCAAATTAAAGCATGATATTCTTACTACTGTTTAAACTATGCAATATTAAATATTAAAGATCAGATTTTAAATTCCATATATTTGAGACTATAATAAAGTGTTACACTTATTCTATAAAAATTTTGATAGATAGCCTATTTGCTTTGTAAGGTAGAATTTAAATACACAAATCCCTTGCTGAACACATTTAATTAATCTCCATGAAATATTGTGTTAACTAACATAAAATACTGTTATTTATCAAATAATTTCACACCATCTTAAATTTGTCTTTTATTATTTGCATAGAATTACAATAATAATAATTTTCACTATACAAGCAGAATTAATTTGTTTTCATTGGCAAAAATTATTTAAATTAATTGAATCACACTTTTCTTAGAGCAGCTCAGTATACTGCCAGTCATATGATGAATTATGATAATGCTTTCCAGATTTTTCCAGATTTAGATCCCAATTTTTGTGTTTTCAACTCAACATGGTGACATATTTTCTGTAACTGTTTCACATTCATTTCACATGTAGAAGGGCATTTTCCATCAGCATATTTAGAGCCCAGTGTTCTAATATGTTGTTGTTAATAAGATCACTAATTCTCAGCTCTTCACAAAGTGAATTCAGCAATTCTTCCACATAAGCCAAGTATACCTGTACTATCTGCAACTTATTTAATAAAGCCATTCAAACAGATTTTGAGATCAAACTCATGAATGAGGAAATATACTTGTTAAACCTTTACAAAATTGTTGCCTAGACAATGTTAAAAGAAATCCATCTTGTATTAAATAAATAAATAAAAAAAAAAAAAAAAAAAATCATGTTAATTCAAAAATACACTAATCGAAACAATGTTAAGTGAGAATACTGTAGTAGCTTGTTTCACATTCTTTTTTCTGTATCTGTAAAATTTTGCTCTTGCCTTAGTAATAATTTTATTTATGATAATCTGTGCTACTTAATTTCTTCAGATGGCTTTATAAATATATGAGAAGGTGAATGGAATTCCTTTATTATTAAGTGAGTTTTTGCATGTTATTCTTATGAGCAATAATTCTGCAGATAGATAAACAAAACAGCCTACATATTACATCAATATTTAAGGAAATATGGCTACAAACTTCCAATAATTCCAATGCAATCCATTTAGAAACTAAAAGCAAGATCCAGATACAAGCACTAAAAAGTTACATAGCACTAAAATTATATAGTATTAGAATGATATCCCAGACACCCATTAACAGAATGAATGATATACAACTACTCACTTTGTATATCGTAGAATCACATAAAAAATGACTTTATATGTATATTATAGAACAGACTTATATGCTTTGTATATCATAGAATATACAAGGTGATCGTAATTAAACCTGGCCTATTCAGAGCATTCTGTAGCTGTAACTATAATTCAAACTTTTGCAGACAGACAATAGAAAGAATGCTCTGACATATAAAAAAAAAAAAAAAGAGTTCCAAAATTTCCACAAAGGGGCGTATTACAGCCAAAATGCTTGAAAAGACAGGCAATAAAAAACTGTGGGCTATTTTAACATTTAACATTATGACTGTAAGGAATGATACCTATCGCACTGAAAGTGAAGAAAAATCAATCTGATTTGCATATGCAGATGAAATGAGTACGAGTTCTGAAAATAAAAAGGAGGAGATCAATTGACTAGTACTCTTTCAGTTACGATATCTATTAATTTACCAGAACATGTGTTAATCATTAAACTTTTTATAAAAATCAGTAAAATGCTGTAGCAGCTCTTGGTGAATTTTGATGTCAAACGAAATTACAGGGCTAATGTCTCCACAAGGTGTGAGACACATGAAATCTATCTTCATTTGAAAAAAATTGGGTCATTATGTATTCAGCGTGGCAGAGGACAAAAACGCATCAGTGCAGAAGTCCTTTTAGAGCAGCTGTTGTTGAGCGGTCACAGATAATTGATCACAGCATCAATAGTACATGTGCATTGTCATGACAATTAGATGTATCATATGGAATAGTGGGGAAGATATTGAGAAAAACAATGCACATTTTTCCGTTAACACCAGACACAACCAGTAAGTGCTTGCAACATTTTTATCTCAACGAAACAATGAACAACAAAAATAATCAAATTTGGGTAATGGAATATTGTCTAGACAACAATTTTATAAAGGTTTAACAAGTATATTTCCTCATTTATGTGCTTGATCTCAGAATCTGTTTGAATGGCTTTATTAAATAAGTTGCAGATAGTACAGGTATACTTGGCTTATCTGCCCTTGCCTTCCACCTACTCGCATAAAGCTACAGTTTAATATGGGCTCCCCTTACCAATTTATCGTTAGACCACTCTTCTTAGAAGAAAATAAATATTTACTAAATGTTAAGATTCAAATAGGGATTGTTAAAGAGGATTTATGTGATTATGAAATTCTTACTAATAATCTAAGTCCTAATGATGATCCTCTTTTTATACTCTTATAAAACATCAAAAGTAGATATTTTATTTAAATTATTAAGAACAACTTTTGATAATATTGGTAATTTCATTAATTATTTGTTTTTCTCAACCAATAGTTACAGTAATGAGAATAGTTTTAGTCACTTTATTTTAAACAGTAACTGTATTTTGTGACAGGTCTTACTGATTTACTTATGCTTTTCTATTAGCAATATTAATTGCAGTAATACTATTATTACTTATATACCTAGATTTTACCCGACTGAGACTTTTGAGTATCTTGGAATGGCATTATTTTTGGTATTGGTTTATATTTATTTTTATAAAGGGTACTGAGATAAGTTAGAATACCTTATGATTGGAGATGTAATAAGGTATTACATACGTTTAATTTTATGTTTAATATAAATGTTGTTAGTTGTAGTGGTTTTGGTTATTTGGGTAAGAAAATTTCGAATAGCTGTATGTGAGTTTTAATGGATAATACGCCCGATTAAAGGTTTAATTTGATAGATTAAATAATGAGAAATTTTGTTGTTATTATGAAAGTGTGTTAGTTAAGTTAGAGTAGTTAATGGATCCTTCATTGATTTACATTCTCCTTCAAGAATTAAATATTTTTGAAATTTTAGTCCATTATTAGGAGTATTTTTATCTAGGCAAATTGTTGGAAGCCTATTTTTATTATTGCATTTTACTGGGGATGTAAATTTATCATTTTATAGAATAATTCAGGATGTAAATTATGGGTGAATAATATTGTAGTTCATGCTAATGAGGCTAGATTATTTTTTACACTTACATATATATCTGAGCTATATTATGAGTTTTATTGTTTTTATAATGCTTGAATAAGTGGGGTAAGTATCTTATTGCTGCCTACAGCTACAGCGTTTACAGAATATATTACTGTGAGGTCAAATGTCTTTTTAAACAGGTATAGCAATTACAAATTTATTGTCAGCTGTTTCATATGTGGGTGTAATACTTGTAGGATGGGTTTAAAGTAAATTTGCAATAGAAAATCCTACTTGTTTTTTGAGTTTCATTTTATCTTTTTTTTTTTTTTTTTTTTTTTTTTTTTTTTTTTTTTTTGTCTTGTGTTGGTCATTTTTTCATTAAACAAAAAAAATCAGGAAACCCCATGAGGTTAAGAAAAGATGTAGCTAAAGTTGTATTTCATCCTTATTTTAGAATTAAGGATGTGTTTGGATTGGTGGTTGTTTTAGTGTTTTCAACTCATATCCTGATACATTTTTAATAGCTTATACAGTTTTACATTAAATTTCAAGAAAAAATGGGGTAGTAATCACTTTAATAATGACTACAGTAGTTTTATATTTCCTGCCTTTTATTTATAAGCATATCTTTCATAGAACTGGTTTCTATTCTTTAAGATGCTTATATTTTGAGTATTTGTAGTAAACTGAATACTATTAATCTAAACTGGGACTTGTGAAAGGGTTATGTTACGGAGTTTAGAGGGCAATTTTTAGTTTTTCATCTTTTTTATGCATTTAATCTTTTGAATAAATTATACGGTTCAGAATATAATAATAAGATTTTAGAATATAGTGTTTTGAAAGCATTAAGTAAGAAAGTATCCTTTAAAATCCAAGTTCTATCAAAATTATTTTATATAGCACGTAGATTTTCCAGTTTAAAAAAATATTAACTTTGTAAGCTTAATATCTAAAGTATATATGAATAAAAGATGATGGAAAATGGAATAGAAAAGAGGAAGAAATGCTTTTCATTCTACATATGTAATAATTACAGTATGACGATTGTAATAATTACAGTACAAAATCCGAGATTCAGATGTCCAATATCCGGAATAATGTAAATTCCGGACCCCAAAGCCATCAACAACAAAAAAATTTTTTTTAATCTGTATGCTTTACGCATGCACATTTCATTCCCCCCCCCCTCCGCGCATAATACAGTCAAAAGTCGTTAATCTGGACTCGTAGGGACTTCGGCGATTCCGGATTATCGATTTTTCCGGATTATAGATCATCAGTTTAAATCTCGTAAGATGGCATGCAGAAATTCTAAAATTAAAAATATGAAACCGTAATTTATGAAATAAAGAACAATTATGATCTAAAGAGTATCAAAATTTACAAAAAAAAAAAAAAAAAAAAAAAAAAAAAAAAAAAAAAAAGCTTAATATTTATTTGTTTACTTTATTAAACATTTCTTTCAATGTAAGTTGTTTAAGTTGCTTCGTTTTTTATGTGATAATACATTCTCTTTAATTCTATAAACAGACATAATTTTTTGGTCAGTTACAAAGTTCCACTGTTCAAGTCCTATAATTGCTGTGTCGAGAATACCAACTAATTTGTCAATTGAAATTTTTCGTTTTCAATAACCTCTGTGTCACTTTCTTCACTATCGGAAGCGAAATTATAATGACGAGGAACTTGAATTAAATCATATCAAAGGCGGAGTACATCGAAATGAAATACTACATTTAGTAAGGAATTATAAGCGAAATAAAATAAAAACATCTGCCCTGAAGATAAGGATAGTGCTGACAGATCAACTTCCAATTCACTGTGCGCTGCGGCATTTGTTGTTGTTTTAATTAAATAACAGTTTCAGTAAAATGTTGTGATATTATCCCTATGGTAACTTGATCACAGAATCAACTGTATTGGGCCAGTTTAGGTACAGTTATTACGTTGAATTAATATTCAGAAAGGTCTGTAATGGTCCTTAGATACCATGACATGGTCAATAGTTTCAGTTCTCAAATTCAGCAGCGACAATGCCTCGCGTCTACCACTTTTATACTGGAGGTATCCCTCCATATAATGGACTTCAAGTGCAGAAGTTTTTGCAGCAACATTTCACTGATGACAAGGTGATTAGCCATTCATTTCCCACTCCTTGGAAAGCCCATTCTTTCTATCTCACTATGTGTGATTTTTGGTTATGGGCCCATGTAAAGAGCTAGGTTTACTCGGGCAACCCTGGCTTGCACACGAGAAAGACCACTGGCGATCAGCTTTTAACACACTGTTCATCGCCTGCGCACTTTACACCTTAATCACAGGGCTCTTATTGAACAATGTGCTTTACATAGCTAAACAGTCTGTCATAAAAAAATGATATTTGCATTGAAATTTGTAGTTTGTTTGTGTTTTGATGTAATGCACTTCTTAATGGAATTTTTTTTAACTCTCCTATCCCAGAACATTTCAGTACATCCTTTGAATTTTCTCTCTAAAAATTTTTGAGTTAAGTTTTGTTATAGTTTTAGCTATAAAGTGCTCTGGATAAGTTAGGTTTAATTATGATCACCTTGTTTATAGACATATCTATAGATAAAGTACATTGTACAAAAAAAAAAAGGATATGTATTAGAATATGGTTAGTATCGAAAGGATATGTATTAAATTTATATATAAGCATTGCTCTAATATAGGCATTTTGACACAAAATCGGGCTTTTTCCGGAATGACATGCCAATTTTTTTCCATATTTCAATTCTACCACTCAAATTATGCAAAACTGCCAAGTTTCGTACGAATGTTATGGGATGTATATTTTATGGACAGTAAAAGGGTAAACTTATATACTTATGTCTCTCCAATAAATAACTTCTTGTTATTCAACATCTTATCTTTACATATAATAAAGAGTGTCTGTGTGTGTCTTTCGTTCGTGCTGCACGTAAGCTAATAGATCAAGTAAACCAAAACTTTCGTTCGCGCTGCGCGTAAGCTAATCAACGTCAAGTCCGTGTAGCCAAAACATAATGTGATTGGGACCTAATGGGCTATAGGAAAGCGAGATTTTACTCTACGCACTCCATTTTCACATCGTCATGAAACGTAGGTACTTAGCTATTTTACGAACTTAAAATAAATTTCGTGTTTCAATAAATCGATTAAATACAAATTTATTTAACAAAGTGAGCTTAACACCTTTTCAATGGGATTTTTTCTAAAAACGTTTATATATAAAAATGTAAAAATTATTTTTCTTTGACTTTTGTACATGTTAAACTTTAATCCTTGCAACTGCTTTTACAAAAAGAATTTTGGAAAAATGATTGCATTAAAAAAAAAAAAAAAAAATTTTAAATGAAGCTTCCGAGTACACATCTCACATCTTTAACCCCTTCACGCCGACTGTCACGTATACGTGCCAGCAACAAACACACTTATCTACCGGCCAACACACAGGCATGCCAGAGCATTGTTGCACTTACTACCGACTGTCACGTATTTGTGCCAGTACCTTGGAACGTTTTTCAAACTATAATTTCTGCCACAAGATGGCACTGTATGTCCATATGGTTTCAGATACATGTACATTAGACCTTCTACTCGAAATGAGAGAAGCACGACTCACATACACATGTTTTTGATTATATAAACAAACGGGGAACTAAATGTTTCCGAATGGCGTGATTTACGACGTCTCTTTAAATCGCACTTTATTCGCACGTGGTAGTTGTTTATTGTAAGTAGAAGTTTTATATGCGCTAAAGCATTGAGTATTTCGGTTTACAGTTCAGTTTTTAGAAAATAATTAGACCTTGTTAGACGTGAATTCTTTCTGTTTTTACCGTTTCAATGTCGAAGCAGCGAAAATGTTTAACAGAGCATGAAATAGCAGAAATGATGCAAAATATTTCAGATATTGATTCTGAAATTCTGACATTCTGATATTGATTCTGAAAGATTAACTGAAAGACATTTTCCAAAACTTTGTTCAGAAGAGACTGATAAGAAAATGAGACGACAATGCTTTGTTTGTTCACATTCCCGGAAAAATCCTCCAAAACGGCAAATGAGTTATTACGAGTTCAAGGAATGTAACGTAGGACTGTGTGTAGATCCCTGTTTTAAAATTTTTCATATGAAAAGAGAATTTTAAGTAATATATTTAGTTTTCAGATGTATAATGTTAAAAGTCATAAAAATGGTGAGTAATTAAAATAAAATGTGTAAAAATATGTATTTAAACAAGAAATAAGGTAATTAAAGTATATATATATAAAATATATATTAAAGCATAAGCCGTTTAAATACTCTATAGAGCATTATTAAACAATGCGTTGATACTTCGGAAATTTCATGGATTTAGGCTTAGTAGCAAAAAAGCCCCTGGCCCTGGAGAGACGCTCGCGGAAGACACTGCCGGCCTCCGCGATAAGCGCGCGTTTTCGCTACCCGGCTCGAAGGGGTTAAAAATGTGATTTTGGCAACAATTTTTTTGTCTTATTGTTGTTGATATATTTTTGATGAAATCGCATCATTTTGAATAGTTTCATTCTTTTAGAAATAGGGGTTTGACAACAATTTTTCATCGTATTTCTTATGTCACTGTTTTTAAGAGATTGGCATATGTTTTTTGAGTTTCTTTCATGTTATTTTTTACTTATTTCACTGTTTGTAAGATATTGAAAAGTTTTGCATGATTTTTTTTTTCTTCAATGGAAAGTTGGTTAATTTTTTTTATTAGCATAATTAGTATTTGTATTAAGGGATATAGCTTATTTCATTGTAATTTTTTTCTCTTGAAAATATAAGATAAAATATCATTAATTATACTTTGCTTTTCAGAATTTTTTGTTTTTTTTGTATTCTTTATGCTATTTATTGCTCATTTCACTGTTTTAAAGATATTGAAAAGTTTTCAGTGATTTTTTTAGGAAACAAAGTTCTTAACCTCCTTTATACCATTTGAGTTCTTAAGATTTTGCAAAGGGAAGTTGGTTAATTTATTTATTAGGATAATTAATATTTGTATTAAGGGATATTGCTTATTTCATTGTAATTTTGTTATACGTAATAACTTTTCTTTATGAAGTTTTTCTGCAGAGTAAAATTCTACGCAGTTTTTAAATTTAACGTTTGGTGTTCCCTTCAGCCATTTTCTGGCACATTTAAAAGCCAGACAAAGGCTGGCAGTGAAGCTGCTAGTTACAATAAATAAAAGTTTAATTAATAATATAAAGAAAATGGCATTAAACATCCAAAAAAAATTTTTTTTAATACAATTCATACTCAATCCATGCACTTAATCAACAATTTACTTCAAAATTTAATTTATAAAACAGAATATACAGAAAATATTTTACTTAATAAACTCCTTATTCTTATGTCACCGTTGCAACTCAACAGCTTTTTCAAGAAGACAATGTATATCTACATTTGGAAAATTCTAAAAGAAAAATGCACATATAAAAAAATGAAGCTTATTAAAAATTCACAAGACTACATTTCAATACACATGCAAAATGAATAATATACTGATTCATAATATGATAAATATCTTAAATAAGTTAAATTTGTTTAATTACATACAGCAAAGTATATGCCTTAGGAAAGGGATATCTTCATGGAAGGCTTTTAGTGAGAAATTGGCTGTTACTTACATTACACAGAGAGAAAAAGAATGAAAATACCCAAACTACTATCCATTTGCTGGAATTTGTATCCAAGTTGAACGAAGAGAACTCTTATCCATACAGTCTTGAGTGTCTTAACAAAACTTAAACTTTTATGTTCTCTGTGGCAACAATATATTATTATGAGTAAGTTTCACAGATTAGAGAAAGAAGGCAGGTACACAATAAAATTTTTATCACCTTTATGCAACATGACTAATGTTATTTCTAGTAGACTGGTACTCTGATAAAATACTGTGTCATTAATTGTAAAAATGCAATAAATATTACACCTACTAATACTTATGCATTACACGTAATAAAATTATTTGTTTCAGAAGTGCTTGTAATGTAAGAATACTATATGAAGATGCTACGTGATCTTTAGTATAGGTTCCAAAAGATTTCAAAAGAAGCTATAAAAATGTCAAAAAAGAGTTTAGCTCTGTGTGGCCGAATGCTGAATTAAGGTTGATGTATACTGCTCTCTGCATTCTGAATGAGACAGTAGGCATCAGAAAAATAAATAAAAGGATCATATTTCAGAACCTATATGATAAATAAGAAGAAAACTATATATCCATGATCCAGAAATTGTTGCATTGACAGAAAACTAAACTGAATTTCATGCACAGTTTGTCTTCTTTAGAAGATACAGGTAAGTTATCATTGCAAAAAATGAATAAGATTAAAAAATTCCATAATATATGTTCTAATCAGCTTACTAAAGAAATACTTCCAAAATTGTCCCAAGGAATGATGAGAACAATTATGAATTCAATGAAAACAGATTTCAATTATAATTACCATGTATTCACAATCCAAGTTTATCTATGCATGAGCTGTAAGATTTTGCAGTAAAAATTCAATCCCCCCGCCTCCCCCAAAAAGAATAAGCTGAATTTAAAATCGCTACATAACTCCAGCAATATATAATCACCAAGTGTGTAAATAACTAGGTCCTCCATAACTGTACAGGTGTACTCTAGCAAACGAGCTGAAGACAACTGCCATCTCTCCTTAATTTTTCATTTTAAAGAGGTGCAAGAGCATCGTGTAAAAAAAAACAAAAAGGAAAGTTTCTCTATCAAATTTATTAAAACATAACATTTTACTAATTGAAACTTCTCTCGTACAAATCTTAGTTAGATTTATTTGATTATCACAAAGCACATGAAGACTATCTGCCTATGTGGAGGACTCTTAGGGAAACATGCACACATGAAGAAATCCATGAAAATGTACATACAGCCAGGCAGTTCACCTTGAAACAAACTCAGATCAAACTATTAGTGTTCAGCAACTTCACTACTCAGCCACTGATGGGCTCAGCTACACACGGATCCTATAAAAAGTTAGGTTTTAAACTTTAAATTTTTAATCACAGTGTTCTCATAATTTCTCTATATTTGGAATGATATAAAATGCATACTTTTGAGAATTTTATAGCTATAAGAATCTTTGTACATATCTACATTAAATATTACATATTTCTTAAATAAAATATAAAGTAAATAAAAACCTGAAGCCATCATTCTAACATCCTGCATAATAAGTACAAAAACTTTTAGAAAAATAGAAGCATTTCAGATATGAAACAGAGTGACAAATAAATTAAATGATGCAAAAGAAATATAGATAATTAGCATTAGAATAAAAGGGGTAATTTTTTTAAATAAAAAGGCTATAAAAACAAACTGAAAAAATTACACACAGTGAAAGACACAATGAGTTGTACCTTTTACTTTTGCCTCTTTACCTAACAAACAAATAGTGAATAAAAAAAATTCCAATGATTTTTTTAAAAAACAAAAAATAAGGCTGGAATAACTTCATTTGTAAAAGATATCAGTATCAATGCAAAGAACAGTTAAAATGAATGCTCACCTGTAACAGCTTCATATTTGCTGAGAAATCACCCTGCATTATTTTGTCTCTCAGCCACCTAAAATATTAACATAGTTATGAAAAAAAAGAGGGTAACAAAAGCATTTAAAATTTAGGTAAAATTCAACATTAGGCTAGTGGTGATTTTAAATAAGACTTTCGCTTTATGCATCCTGAATACTTAAGACAAACTGCTCTTGAAGTCGTTAACCCAGACACCCATAATCCGGACCTCAATGCTACAAACTTTTTGCGTATGTGTCAACGCATAATGCATTCACGCATGTGCATAAGTAGTTATGCATGCACGTAATACTTTTACGCATGCGCATATGCGTGAGCGCATAATATGTTTACGCTTGCATGTTTAACGTATAATGGATGGTATAAGCTAAGCTAAAATGATCTATTTCAGTTAATATTGCAGATTGCGTTGTTCCTTAATCTTCAAATTGGATCCGGCTTATTATTTTTTGCAGACTGTTAGAGCAAATTTATAAAAGTAAGCTTGAACTTTCAATTATGTCAAATAGAATTTCCGATGCTGGAGCTGCCAAAGTGAAAGTATGTTTCGAAAGCGAAAATATCTAAAAATCGAAAGTATGTTTCGATGTCCATCAAACAAAAAGTTGAATTGCTGCAAAAAATGGATAAAAGCATATCCTTTGTTTATCTAACCAGTCCGAAATCTGTTTATCAATTTTACGCTGCTCTGCAGGGGGAGGGGCGTCGCGACGTGCAATGAACTGGAAGTTGGTCTGTCAGTACTATCCTTATCTTCTGGGCAGATGTTTTTATTTTACTCGGCTTATAATTCCTTACTAAATGTAAAATTTCATATCGATGTACTCCGTCTTCGATATGATTTAAATCAAATACCTCGTTATTATAAATATCACGAGTACACATTAAACAGTTTTCTGGTTGCAATTTTCTAATTTCGACTATGCGTAGTGTATTCTTTACGCGCGCGCACGTTGAAAGAAATGTTTAATAAAGTAAACAAATGAATATTAAGCTTTTTTTTTGTAAATTTTGATACCCTTTAGATCATAATTGCTCTTTATTTCATAAATTATGGTTTAATATTTTTAATTTTATAATTTCTACATGCCATCTTACCAGATTTAAACTAATGATCTATAATCCGGAATCGCCGAAGTCCCTACGAGTCCAGATTAAAGACTTTTGACTGTATATACAAGCGGCAGTAAGAATGGACACATACAACACAACATAAGAATGAATGTCTGGAGATGGTAAAAGAAGAGAGTCAGAACAGGCACATATGCATACACACACAGATGCCCCACCCCCCACAAAAAAACTTTCCTCTCCTGCAGTACAGTTATTTGAAGAAATCAATATAGAAATACTTTTATAGGATGAGAGAGACTGTGACTTATTCATAAAATTTACCACATATGAGATTACAATAAAAGAAAAATACTACAGTGCTATGCTTGTGAATTGTGTCAAACAGTTTCAAAAGCACTGACAGATCCAACATTCTGCACAATGCTGTAAATGATTACAGTGAGTCATTAGCACATACAATGGACATAAACACAGTAAAAAAGGCATTTTTATGTTTCAAAATTCAATAAAACAAAATTTATTACTCAGATTCAATGCAAATTCTGTCCAGTTTCTAGAAAATCACTTCTAACCAGGAACCTATGACTGGCACAAGAAATTGAAAAATACAGATGTAAAGAAAAAAAACTCTGGAAAATCTTGCACAACTGAAAAACAAGTTTAATATGTTTGCAAAATCCTCTAACAAACTCCACAGAAATCAACAATAAGGACAAGCCTTTCATTTCAAATTGTAGAACTTACAGTTAAAAAAAAATTGTGTCAAGCAATTAAAACTCACAAATTTCAATTATTATATCATATAAATGAGTTTGACAAAACAAAACAACCCTCATCTACTGTTGACAAGATCATTTTGTCTACAGTCTGACATGGTGATGATCAGTGTTCCTCAAATAGAATGCTATGCAAAAAACTTTATATCAGCATGCATACACTCCCTTAAGTTTTATCACAGTATTTCTTTGGGGGGGGAAGAGAGAGAAAGAAGTTACATGCCCTTTTTAATACTACTTTGTTTCAGTGATTAAACAAATGCTCTCGCCAAACACTCAATATTCTTCAAATTCTTATCGATTTTTTATTTTATCATTTAAAGTAAACTTGAAAGATGAGCAATTTTGAATAGATAAATACTCCTTGTAATAGTTCTGGAGATTGCATCAAGATTATGAAGATTCTGGTACATGGCATCATATACATTGAACAGCTTCAAATGGAAGTCAAAGCTAGAAAATGCATGTTTTTGACTGTTTCTTAAAACTGCTAATCATTATACTAATGTTCGCTTTAACTAGTATAAAATGTATATTAATATAGAACATATTTACTGCCTTTTTGTAAAATAATGTTATAAAGAGATTAATCAAAAACTTAAATACTGATTGAAATTAAATAAATTTTTATTTCAAGCATTCATCAAGTGTCAGCTTTAATAGTATACAGAAAAGCTGGTAAAATGCTAAAATTCATAACAGAACAGGAATACTTGGAATAAAATAAAGAGCTCAAAATAAAAACGCAAGCAAGAAATATACTTACAATATCATAGCACAGCACACATATATTAGAAATTCAAATCTATTTTTGTCAGCAAATAAGGAGTCCCAGACACGTATGACATCTTAAGAGAGACAAAACATATAATGAATTCTGAAATGCGTATAATACACCAAAATTTTAAAAATTTGCATATTAAAAAACACCAGTTACAATCAGAATAGGATATTTATGGTTCAGTATGTGGGTCAATGAGAAGAAAATAAGAATACTAAGATAATTACTTTTTACATATCAATCTGACTGAAAAGCAACTAAAAACTGAAAAGCTTGACTGTAAACTGACCTATTTTTTTCTTTCACAAATTAGCAAGAGCTTAAACATTGCTATGTGAATATTTTCAGTATGTATGACATTAAACCTTACTATGTGAATATTTTTAGCACTGTTAGTATTTGTTACTCAGTAGCGCATGTTTATAACCATATACTCTGTATCACAATTTTATGATGCAATATTCATCAAGAGAAGTAAACAATGTTATCTGATAAAATTTTGTAAGAAACCAATGTAAAATAATCTGAAATCATCAAAATTAATATATTTGTTTTATGATAAATGGCGATGTTATTTCGGGTTACATATATTAACTCCTTCACATCCAATCCGCCCGACTCGGCCCTACATTGAAACAACCAGAACCGCCTGAAAACGGCTGAGATTGTAATCTTCTTTTCTTCCCTCCCCCTAAGGTATGCAGTAGCAGGGTGCACTTTCCCCAAATGCACTGTATCGGTTTACAGCAGACAGCTTGTCCTAAGAGGTTTTTTTTTTTTTAATCTTTTGGTTGATTGTGACATTTCGTTGTTGATTCTTTTGTGGTACAGTGTGCTTTTAAGCTTTAAACATCAATAAAAGAGCAGTTTAAAAATTTAAGGATTATATTTATTTTTAAACAATTTATTCCTTGTTATAAGAATAATGAAAATAAACAAAATCTCAGTCGTGATCATACAAAGCCAGAAAGGCTTCTTGATCTGACCTTCAGAATAGTTTTATAAAGAACGGGGTCAAAGGCTAATGGAATCTTTGTTAGACAGTACAAAGGATGTCATTGGAAATCTTAACACCTATTTTCTGCTACTGGATGGGGAGGGGAAGAAATTGCTGTGAAACTGGAAAAGTATTTTGGGCAGTTCGGGTATTTTGAGGATACAGCTTAGCGAAGGGTCTGGATTTCAAAGAGTTAAGTTATTTTGGATAAGGAAAATTTCTAAAGCTACAAAGCTAAAGAAAGCACTATATACTAAATATTGGTTCAAATGATTCAAAAATGGCCAAATATCAGTTGATAGGAACCAAACAGGAATTCAGAAATGATCAAGAAACTGTTTGTCATAGTGATCAAAAATTGACATTTTATAATGAAAAGAACTAACAATGATCTTGCCTTCTCGTCAAGGTTAAAAATAAATAATTGCAAGTTTGGGCATATAACCATAATATAATGGAATTTTGTGTCAATGCTCGGAACATAAAGTTTGCACTATATTAGTTGTGAAAGAAATATCCTAGAAATGAGATCCGAGTACATGAAAACTGACATAAAAGTGAAAATTCCTTTGACATACAGCAAATCATGAAAGTTACTAAGGTAAGAAAAACGCTATTTACATGGAGAATGACAATAATCATTGAATGTGTACACTGGTAACAGATTCAGCATTTTCCAAGAGATGAAAGCTGAGAAGATGAAGGATTAGCACCATTAATAATATTAAAAAAAATGTGGAAAGTTTCAGATTTTAATGGTTGCCTTAAAGGATTTGTTAAGGTTCTTTGTGCTCTTGCTGAGATAGCAGACTACCAGTCTGCTGCTGCACTCACTTCTGCTAATCCATTTCTTTTTTCTTTCTTTCCTTTTTTTTAGGGGGGGGCAAGATTAGTTTTATTATTAAGCATTGTTTTCTTTGCGCAATTTTATGTTTAGAAATAGTAGTTTATATATGTGGTAATAGTTAAGTGCAACACAGCCACCAGAGGGCCTCACCTATGCGCCAGCAGCGAGAGAGAGGTGAAAGAAGAGTATAACATATAGACAAATAGTCTTCTATCCCACGCGAAGGTGGCAAGATGTCTCCACGAGAAGGTGGTAAGACGTAGGTCTACATGTGAAGGTGGTGAATATACAACTGTATCAGGGTTCATAGCCACATTTTGGTTAAAAAAATAAGCACCTATAAGCACTTTTCAAGCACATTTTAAGAAAAAAATAATAAGCACCTGTCTAATTACATTATACACAACTGCATAACCTTGAAAATTAGACTCGTAATTTAAAATACGAGAAATGCAGTATTTATTAAGAGAGAATAAGCATTACCTCAACCATGGAAAATAATTACTGTTTTTAAATTTTAAATAACAGTTCAATTTACAGAACTAGTTTACAATGAGAGAAAAAAAAAACTATGCAGAACTAAACTATATTACAAGATTTAATGATGAAATTTCAGTTCAAAATAGAAGAAATAAATAATAATAAGGCATATTTATACAATTCGCTTGGAACTTGATAATAAATATAATTTATTTTTCCACTTATATTGATATTTAACTAATTTAAATCTAAATTCTGAACATTTTCTAAATTTTCATTGTATATCAGTTTTCCCTTAACAGATATTGCAAGCAAAGTAATTTAAGTAAAAAAAAGAGGAACATTTCTGAAATCAGAAGACAGAAATTTGCTTCATGCAGTCATCCTTAACAGTAAACTTTAACTACCCGCATACTTAAAAATTGGCGAATATTCGGACAGTCGTGCATAACTTGAAAAAGAGGAGCGGAGGGGGGGATAGACTGTAGTCGTGCTATAGATTTTTCCGCTAAATAAATACTTTTGACATTTCGGTATGTACATCATATAAAAAAAAACAACGGAACAGAAAAATATTCTGCTTAGCAAGCACAGTAAAACTCTTTTAAGTATTCATAAACAAATCTCGGACCGAACATCAAAATTAATTATCTCTGTAAAATATCGCAAACGTTATTGCGCAATAAGTGTGCCGTAATTCTTCCCTACATGATATTACGCAATCGGATTCAACAGCTGCCGTTATTGGAAAAATAAAGAACTAAATAAAGGAAAAGAAAGAGACTTACCAATCTGGGGGGTTTTTGCATTCTAATTTTCAACAGACTGCATGCATTAAATTTCCGGAATAGAGTCATTCTTCTCTTGGGTCGGCAGACCGCAGAACTTTTAGTCCTATTCAATCCAGATTGGAAAACGACAAACAAACAACAACAACAACAACAAAAAAGTCTGTTGCTTGTTTTGCAGTGAACTGTAACAGTTTCAATATTCGAGATTTTGCGGAGAAAGGGGAGAACCATTCAACCTTCGTACTGTATAATGTATTAGCCAAAAATATGAAATTATTTTGACTATTCGATTACTATCCCTTCATTTAAGCCATTCCGAATATTATTAATTAGAAAGCTAATCTGTGTTAAACACAACCATTTTTGGAAGATCACTATACTTCAGCAGTTACTGCAACTATGTTATTATAAACATTCATACATATGCTCATAATATAAGCATAACGATCATAATAAAACACGAATATGAACTGACCAAGTGGAACAAGAATGCAAATTATTAAGATCTTGATAGAAATTCAAACGTGTGTAGTATTTGGGTGGCAGAAAAAGAATGCCGAATGTACCGGAATTCTCTACTGCTTTTGCAATTCTTTGACCAACAGAACGACAGGCACCTGACTGTACTCTCTGCGCACACCAAAAGTTATGTTAATACAGAGAAAGGGGGAAAAGCTATTTCCAAGAGTATGATTCACCATCTGACATTCCATATTAGGAAGAAAAGTTTATTTAGTTTCGGCTTTGGTACGGGGAAAAATTGTGCATTCATTTAAAAAAAAGCACTAAAAGCAAAAAATAAGCACTAAAAACAAAACAAAACAAACAAAAAAAAAGAGCTTTAAAGAAAAAGTAAGCACCTATAAGGGCCTTTATATTTTATTTTCAAATATAAGGACTTATAAGCACTTATAAAAACCGCTACGAACCCTGTGTATGTTTCTACGAGGAGGTGGTAACTTGACTGCATATACGACAGCTAGTGCAAGTAGGCGCTAAGCTGCTATTTAAATTGTAAAAGTGATAAAGAACGGTGTTTATATCTAACAAGCGTGAGAAGATGCAACAGCAATTGTATTTAATTCAATCTGTACAATTTTCTGTTATTTTCATTAAATGTTCTGTGGTGTGGAAAACGTGGGAATTGTTTATTCCCCTAGACTAGTATCAATCATATCTGAACCATGGTTGATGCATTCACAAAGTTCGTGTGGCTCTATCCAGTAAAGTCTACATCAGCTCGAGGTAATGCAGAAGCTGAAACTGCGACAATCAACTTTCGGTAATCCTTTGAGAATTATAAGTGACAAAGGTACGGCGTTTACCTCTAAAGACTTTGAAGATTACTGTAGTCAAGATCCAGCCCATATTTACAACTACAGGCGTTCCTAGAGGAAACGGACAAGTGGAAAGAATTCATCTCACTCTGATTCCAGTCCTATCCAGATTATCCACAGATGATCCAACCAAATGGTACAAATATGTTGGAGGTGTACAACGGATCTTGAAGGGCAGTAAGAGCAGAAGCAGAGAGTTCTCCATTTGAGCTCCTCACTGGTGTTAAAAATGAGAAATCGAAAATTCTCGAAGAAGAAGAAGAAAGAAATATTATGATGAAAGATCGAGAAGATATGAGAGAGGAAGCAAGGAAAAACATTCTAAAAATTCAGGAAGAGAATAGAGAAACATACAACAAGAAAAGAGGGACAGGTATACAATATGAATGACCTAGTTGCTATACAAAGACGCAGTATGAAGGTGGTCTAAAGTTAAGGACAAAGTTCTTCGGTCCATACCGTGTAACAGCGAGGAAAGGCAAAGATCGGTACCAGGTGGAAAAAGTAGGACACCATGAAGGTCCTGGATGTACCACTACAGCAGCTGATCACATGAAGCCTTGGAATATTCCTGCCTAGGAATATGTGTGGTTTTTTCCGCACTTCTTTCTTGGT